AAAGCTGGAGAGGGGCTTTGGACAAGGGTGTGTAGTGATAGGACATGGGGCAATGGCTTTAAACTGAAAGAGGGGAGATTTCCGTGAGATCTAAGGAAGAAATTCTTCCCTCTGAGGGTGGTGAGGCACTGGCACAGGTTGCCCAGAGAAGTTGTGGCTGGGCCCCCCCCGGCCGTGGTCAACGCCAGGTTGGATGAGGCTTTGGGCAACCTGTTGTAGTGGAAGGTGTCCCTGCCCATGGCAGGGGGGCTGGGACTGGATGATCCTGAAAGTCCCTTCCAGTCTAAACCATTCTACAACTCTATGATATGACTCTGTATTTAACTATTTACCACTTATTTCTGTGACTCTTCAGAGTTCAGTGTGGGACCTGCCCTAACCTTCCCTGGGAGCAATGTGGTGAGCAGCTGGGGAAGGTGGCACCTGCTGAAGTTATCAAAGATGGAGCTGGCAGGGACACCAACGTTCCCCTTGCCCTGTTTGAGGTTTCTGAAAGGGTCAGTTGAGGGTTTTTGTTCCAGCCCTCAGGTGAGTTGATGTGTGGCCAGCTCATACAAGGCCAACAGCTCAAAGGCAGCATCTCACGTTAGAAGCTGCTGTGAAGGCAAAGTGCCACGGCCAATGCAGGGTGACTACCTGGTAACCTCCACCGAGCACTGAGACACAGAGCCAGGGCCCTGCCAGTCCGAACACCGCAGCCCTGACCCAGGGAACCCACAGCGAGGGTCGGCCAGAGCTTGTCACCTCCCTGGGAGCGTAGAGATGGCGGTTGGGCTGGACGCTGGAGGGGCACTGACAAGCCCTACCCTATACCACGGGTTTCCTGAGCTTCCCTCGTTCCCCAGAGCTCGCTGCGTCGCCTTCGCAGGACACCGGACTCTCCTGCGCCGCTGCCCAGCTCTTCTCCTAATCCCAACCACTGAGAAGTCAAATCTTCATCCTCACGGCAGTAAGAGCTGTCTCCAGCGCTCACCAGATTCCGCGCTGCGTTTTAACTGCGCGGCTTTGCCGCAGCCCCTTCCCCAGCACCGCTGGCGGCGTGTCTGCGGGGCGTCCGCGCAGCGGGGGGACCCGCGCCCCACGTCGGAAGCGGCGCCCTGAGCACGGCAGGAGCAGTGGCTCCCCCTTCAAGGCTGTTCCGACCCCTCCGCTCCCCACGCCGCCGAGACCCAACGTGATTTCCTGAAACACGGGCTGGGGCGCTGTTACCATAGCGGCTGCGATTTTACTACATCCATCTGCTGTTTCCCTGCCAAACATCTCCACGGGCTGCTGACTTCAAGCGAAGGCATTGGGAAACATTACAAATCGACAACTGCAAAGTTACTAGATAAGAATCTTTAAAATTTATTGGACTAATTGTGTTACATTCAATATTTGATGTGTTTCTCCTGGACAAAGAATTGGCATAAATACAAACAAGCCTTTGTGTGCCTTCCCTAAACAAATAAGAGATAAAGTACTAGAGACGAGGGAACATAGTTCACATCTTCATATTTACATTTTTGCCTTTACTTTACAACTTAGCGCCAGGAATATTTACAGAAAAATACAATAAGAACAAAAAGATCGTGTCTTGGCAACATACAGAAATTCATACAAATTGTATATGATTTGAAGCACATGATATCCGGCATTCTCGTTTCTAATTGCTCCTGCTAAAATCCATGTGGAAAAGGTCTGGGTTTGCCTTCCAAGACATCACGCAATTACACAATCCTTAAAGCCCATCGACTTTGTCTGTGAGATTGGAATTTAGTTCTCTCGTCTTCCCGGGCGCGCAGAAGCTCGCGGGAAGGAAGCGCAGACGCCTGTGGAGAACCCGGCACACGTGTCCCTGCGGCCTCGTGCCCACGCTGCTGCCCACACAGACACCTCCATTTCCACAGGCACCGTCCTCCCCAGCTCCTGCTCGCTGCGAGGTCCTCACACCTTTTTAAAAAGCATCTTTAAGAGAACTGCTTTTCTTTCAAAGAGAGTCTTTACTAAGGTACTAAAATTTCTGTAATTTCAACACTGTTCAACAAGGTGATGCCGCTCCCCCCTCCTTGCGCACCCGTAAAAGGGTGCCCCCATTGAACGCGGAATTATGAGCCCGAGAAGAAGCTCTTGGGGAAGGAGAAAGTCTCCGTTGAGTTATGACGCAAACGTTGCGACTCGGCTTTTGCAGCGCCGTGCTGCCCGCGGGGCTGCGCCGACGTCGCGCCGGGCGCAAAGCAGGCGGCCGGTCCCGTCGCCTCTAATCAACGGGAACACAAGCCCGAGCCGCGCAAAAAACCCAACGCAGCAGTTGGTGATGAAAAAAGAAGTCTGGGTACTTGACTAACGTTCTTGTAACCACAACCGAAGTACGTACGTCCCGCTTGCGCTAACCTCCCGGGGAAGAGCTCAAGGCTGCACCCTGGCCTAGCTGAAGGCATCGGGGTTCGGCCGCTGACTTCGGCAGGACGAGGATTTCACTCCCAAATCGGGGTTTTGCATTTTATCCCCAAGTCAGAGACCCCCCTGCGCGCAGGGGAAGGAGGGATGCTCCCTGCAGGCACTCCCACCGGCACAGGTGTGCCGGGGCCGTGACCGGCACCGCACCAAGCGGGACGGCAGCACGTTTCTGTAACCACAACATTTTCATACTGAACTATGGCTCTCCTGAAGGTTCACCTTCCCGAACAGTGAAAGCCAACACGCACGGTCGGGTCGTACCACCGGCGTGCGAGGTGTTAACCGGATGGTTTTACGGATTGAACGGAGCCCGTTGGGACGCTTGCCCCCCGGCAGCAGGACGAGCAGCAATAACCTGGGCAAAGCCACCTTCGTTCAAGCCTACTGGGAAGCTGCGCGGCTCCCAGCGTTGCTCCTGCTGGGGTGGGTGCCAAACACGGACACAGACCCAAGCCGACTCCTCAGCCAAGCGTGAGCCTTCTTAAAAAGTGAATTTTTCAGGCGGTTCGTTTGGCTATCTGGGACTTTGCAGAAAATACCCCGGGATTCCCCAAATGCCTTTCCGTTACTGACCGTGCCAGAATGCCTGAAGGAAGTATCTTTTGCAGCTCACTGCTCTATAAACCAACGACTTTGCATGTAAGATACACTCAGCTATGGCAGGTGGGTTCTGTCGTTACCTTACTGAGGATGTGCCGACGTCTGAGTGCTCAGTATGTCTATCTCTTACACATGCACTGGTCATGCCTTTGAAATCGGTGGGCTAAAGTGTGTTTGGCCATCAATTAACCCAACAGGTGCATACAAAATGTGGGTAAATTTAGTGTCCGTGCATTAAATCGATACTGGCGAGGGGTTGGCAGAGGGATGAAGCTGCCCGAGTTTCCCTTCACGCCTCGGCCAACACTCCCCATGCGGCTGCTCCTGCAGTCTGCAGCCCGGCACCGCGCAGCCCGGGCACCACGCTCGCTTCGACACAGCTTTTCTTTACATGTTTCCTTTTTCCACTTGTGATTCACCTGGATCAAACCCCAGAGCCCCTGAGTTGAGAGGCTGGCGTGCTCGTCCCCTGCAACAAGCACACCCCACCCAAAACCCCTTGGGTTGACACCCTGAAAGTCCTTTCAGGTCGAGTTTTAGGGGCCTGTGTTTCCATTAACTCTTTGTGAAAAACCACAGGGAAAGACAGGCGCAGGGCACGTCCCTGGCAGGCAAGTTGTAAGGAAACAATTAAGACTGTTTCAGGTCAGAACTGTTGCAAAAAGTAACACTGAAATACCAAAATTAAATGACTGACAGATACTAGTGCAACGCATATCAAAGAGCTAATAAAAGCACTTCCGGAATAACGTGAGGAGCTCCCCAGATTCCTGCCCACACTCACGCTCTTACGTTACCTGCCTACTGGAAGGAAAAGGACACGCGCTGCTGCCAGCGATCCCACACCGCACCCACCAGGAGCACCAGCGATAGTCCCTTACTGCAACACCAGGTGAGACTCTGCTGAGAGCTGGAACGGGCTCCCAAGGCTGCCGGTGCCCTTGGCACCTTCTACATTCCCAGTATGAAATTTGTAGTTGTAAACATCTTTTCCTGGCACATCCTTTAAGTCCAGAACGCACCAAATCCACACTCTGAAAATGAAAACTCCTGACCTAGGCGAAAGGGAACCGCTGAGCATGAGAGAGCACAGCAGATTCCAAACAACTTGGAGTTCTAACTCCAAAGGGGCTTTCAGGGAATGGCAAGTTAATGGGGAAAAAGAAGAATTCTTCAATTTTCTTTCTGAGTTGTTTTAGTCTGTTTAACAGGAGCTTCTGAAAAGTGTTGTAGAAGCTGCGAAAGCTGCTTGTGCTATAAATATCAGGCAGGAGGCAGCCCCAGAATCTCAGATTTCAATCCAATGGAAGGGAAGCAAGTGATGTTTACACTTTTTATGGAAATGGTGAGTAGGTGATACAGACACTTCAAAATAAATTAAGCAGTTGCACAAAAAAAAAATTTAAAAATCAAGCTACTAAAATTAAATGTGACATTTTGCAACAGATCTGAAAGTCATAACCTTGTTTTTACATAACCAAGAGCTCTCATCTAGTAACAACTTCTGTTGGAAAGTCAGGTAATTCCAGGTGGTGTTTGTTGTCAGCAGGATAGAAACCTCCTAAGTGGATGGACTCGCTCCCACCACGGAGGGAACCGTAGAACACAGCACCTGGCTATGAACTTCACGACCTGGTGTTTCCAAGCAGTTTTCCTCCTCTTGCTTTCGGTACACAAACTGGTCAGAAGCAGCAAAGGATCTTCTGCTGAGCTCGGAAGCGGGGCTGAAAATGTCTTTTGAGTCCTTGCAGGGATAGCTAATGCTCTGGAGCAGACTCCCTCCTTGAAGGAGAGATCCTGCTCCCTTCTCCTTTAACACGTGGGTTGCAGGGAGATGTCTGAAGGCAGGTTTGTTTGTATTTCGTTTTCCATCCTTATACACAGAGATGGTTTTGTTTTGATTGTTTTCCTCTCACAGAATGAGACACTTACAGTTCCTAATTAGTCTGGAATAGATGATTGGGTGAAGAGATTATGTTGCTAGCATCCAGGGAGACTGGAAATAAGTAATCTTTTGAGGGAAGGTGAATTAAGTCAATATCCCAACTGCAATGTTTTGGATTCGTTTCTCATTCCTCCCACATGGTATCTGCTGACTTGTGCTAGAATATAATTTCCTGAATTCCAGAGGGCTGAGGAAATTTGTTGTTGTTATTTAACCGTTTTCATTACTGTAGCCACCAAGCTCTGATCTAATTGTCCTGGAAGGATAACGACCTAGGGGTTGCAGTTCTTGAGCCCAACCTCCTGGAAAAGTGAGGTATAAAATTCTGGCTCCAGCTGCCTGTTCCGGTATTTGTTGACAATGTCTGCTATCTTCTGTTTTCGGCGGACATGTGGGGGGTTGTATGAATCACTCTCCAGCCTCTTTCTCCGACAGATATTTATTACCGTCTGCCTCACTAAAAAACCTGAAAAAGAAACAACATTTGAATCAAGTTTAAACAAATTCGAGCCCGTGTTCCTTTGCTGGCTTCACAGCTAAAGACAACGTCGGGTTCCGTCCCATCCAGAAACCCCGGGGAGATGCTCAGCACCACCAAGTCAAGCACTCTTCTCAACAAGTAGTTGGTCATGGATAACCATGGTCCCCAGGCCTGTAAGGACATTTTACTGTGAAAATGAGTAAGGAAAGAAACTAAGTCAGCGGCACCCTAAACTGGCTGAAGGAGGAAGAGTTCTCTGCTTTGCCAGAGTCAAGCACCTGTCTGCAAGAGCACCCTCAGGACCAAGAGGGGAAAGAATCCAGGGCAGCTAATACAAGACTCGCAGTGCTACAGCCCCTGGCCATGGCACACGAGGACACACGGAGCTCAGGCAGGCCCTGAGGTCACACCGGGTGATGCCAGGGGAGCCTTCAGAAAGAAAAAAAAAAAAAGTACCCATCAGTGCTTTTTGCCAGCAGGAACGGCAGAGACTTCCCCTTGGAACAGGGGACAAGGAAAGACTTGATGGGTTGTGGCTGCAAACAGGTTTCTCTTCCTCTCGCTGCTTTGCCACTGTTACCTCTCCGCAACCCTCCTGCTGCACATGGCAGCGAGGAGAAGGTGGGGAACCAAAGCAGTGACTTTGGTCAAAGCTGGCAGCGGACTTGATCCTGTTTCATTCCAAAATGAGATTCATGTGCCTCTAACGACCTAAGGGTCTGTTAACTCCTTTGCTTTTCACAAGCGCTTTCATAAGGCAGAAACAAGCAGTGTCTTTCTTATTCAGAGGACTTGATTCCTGACTGCACACAAATCACACTTGCTGAACTCAGAGACGAGATGAATTTCATTATATTTCACTCTGATGCAACTGAAAAACCAGCCCAACTCTAGGAAAACACACCTGGTTCTTTTTCAGTACAAACCATTGCCAACAGCTGAATTCACAAATGTTACTTAAAGGCTCAGTCTGGCTTCAATTGATTTCCCCATCACTGAATTAAACATGCAAAAACCAGGACCTGGAAGTCACCAACAGACCCCTACAGCACTAGTTTTATGGCTATGTACAAGTATCCTCATGTTCATTTATTCATTCTGCTCTGCCTTGTGAATCGCTCTCACTGCAGGGAGATTTCCAGGTGTTGAGGCTGCAGTAGCACAGACACCAAGACAGACCCATTAACCCATCCAGGAACACAGGAAAAGCAGAGAGCACACACAGACCCCTGCTAACACGTGCTTGCATAGTAGGTTAAGTATTTTTATTGGACACGTTAGAAAATCCTCAATTGCTGTGGCTTTTCACAGCTATCCGGCTTCTAAACCGGAAGGAACACACACAGCATGCCAGCACGGTCCGAAAGTTCAGCAGTACCCTCTGGCAGCCAAGCAGCACTCGGCTCTCAGTGATAAACACCAGGGTCACACTGCTGGTCTCTCTTATCTAAACCACAGGCATTTACCTTTGCCTTCCACCATTCCCAGTTCCAACCCTTCACTTCCCTCCTACTCCAACGCAGTGGAGCTGTTACACTGTCAGCCAAGTGCTGACCACCTGCTCCCTCTGCTGTTCCTGCAAATTCTCTTCTGCCGTGCCCAATACTTCTTCCAGGGAAAGGTTCCAGACCATGTATTCTGCAGATATATTATTATTAAAAAATAAATCAAAACATGAGCTTTACTAAAAACCTTTAGCTTACCGAGAGCTCTCCTACTGACTATCATTCCGTCCACCAACGGGATAACCATATTGAATTTCCCAGTTGCTCCTTGTAGTTTTATCCTGAATAAGCCAGTGTTTAAAGGATGGATGAAGATCACAGGAACTTCTTTCTCGGGAGTGGTAGATCTTAAGGGAAAAACCACAGCTGTTAAATCAGTTTTATAGCACTGTTTCAATTAATCTATAGATGGAAATTGACCACTTGAAGTGTTAAAGGAATGTTAAAAAATGTCTTGTGGCTAAACCAGGACTCCTGTGTGGATGCTCTGGACTTCAGAAGGGTGTATCAACTACTGTTTCTATGATCTTCCTTCACCCCAGAATTTGGGAGTCCTGCAGACAGGGCTTTAAGCCTCACAGCACATACACAGCATTAACTGCCTCACAAGGGAGTAAATCAGGAGGGAGGCTAATCACAGACTCAGGATAAAAACTACACATTTTCTGTTCCTTAATTTATGTTTAAACTGCAGCGATATGAAAAGAGCTCTTCCCTTTTTTCATCAACAAAAAAAATTCCATTGAGGAAACTCATCTGTTTTTTTTAACATGACTGCCTAGAGTTTTCAGGGCTGCCAGTAAAAGCTGAAGAATGCAAATAATTTGTCATGACTTCTAAATTGCAGCCTAAACTGTTGTCCACGAGAATCAAAAAAAAAAAAAGAGAAAATACGAGCAGTCTTACCTCAGGGAAGTGCTACTATTGGCTGTAGTTTCCACACCAGTGCTAGTCTCAGACACCAGATCAGGGAGGGGGAAGTTTTCTGTAAGAAGAAGATGCACTGAATAAAGTTTATCTACCCCAATTTTTGTTTTGTTTTTGTACAACAAAAGATTATTTATCTTCAGTCGAAACCACGCAGTACTCAAGCGTTTATACCACGGATGTTCTTGCACTGCCAGTGACGCCAGTTCTTTGGTTTCAGCTTAAGCATTCACGGAGTGCACAGACACATCTCAGCCATCCTGTGCTCAACAGATGAGGTAACACATGTCCCAGACCCCCCAGTCTCTCAGTCCCAAAGGTCCAAATCTCTAGAGGAACAGTGAAAGCAGGAGGAGAAGTACTTTAATCACAAAAAGAGCTTTCCAATTATTATTCAACAGCATCTTCACCTACCCACAAGTAATGGACCTCGAGAACAGCGCTGGGCATTTCAAACGACACCACTCACATCCGCCGTTCCCTTGAGCCTGCTCCAACAAGCACGGTACTGTTTCTGGAATCCAAGCTCTGCAGATCCTCCCCATAACTCACAACTCTGCTGCCAAGCGCTTGGTACCAAGTGACAGGATAACACAGACGCAGGAGGAAGAAGTAAGAACTCGGATCCCTGGAAGGAGCTGTGGCACTTCCCGTCCCCTCGTTCAGGGGCAGGAACCGAGATGTTGAGAGTCACTCACAAAAGTGCAGTTCAGATGGCAGGATAGTGCCGACATCTCTTCCAGCAGAAAGAGTATAAGGCCTCAAAACACCTTTTGCCATCAGAGCTGGGATGCCAAGAGTACACAAAGCTGGAGCCAGCAGATGGAGAGCATGGAGGGCCATGGAAGTACTTTGAGATGGAGCAAGAAGGAGGGCAGGCAGTTGGCACAGACTACAACGTGACAGCTTTTCCACCGTCCAGATTCAAAGATGTACCAGAAGCATAAGGCAAAAGCCAAGAACACGAGGAGCATAAGGCAAAGCCTCTGGGCTACAAGCCACTTGCAAGAGCCGCCACCCCCCTGCCCCAAATCCAACTGCCACACTTACTGAGGCTCACAAACTCATTTCTTCAGCTTCAGGCCCAGGGCTTTGGGAGATTCCTGCGGCTGCTGAAAGAAGCAGCCAAGCAGAAACGTGCACATGTAGCACAGTTGCTGCCTCTGCAGTGAGCTGGCTTTAGCTGCCACTCAAGAAAGAAGAGGGTCAGGGTCATCAGTTCGGGAGCTGAAGTGGCTGGGGGACTCCTGGGGCTAAGGGAACACACTCCAGGCCAATGTCTGGATAAGGAAATGAGGCTGCAGAACTTGATGTCTGCCTCCTGATCCCAGTGAATCTGAGGGATGTGCTGTGGACAAGGTGGTTGTCTTAAGAATTTACACCTACACTCAACATGAAGCTTCCTCTTGATTACTCCCATTCTCTTCGTTACTTTCCTCTGGGAGGAGCTAAGGACTTAATTGAGGTCCATCCTTTCTGCCAGACTGGGAACCACAATTAGAAATCAAAGACAGAATATAAGTATCAGTTACTGGCTGGTGTTACAGGCTCTGCTGGGCTGGGCCAGTACAGAGAGGCTCTCGCGCAGCGCTAAAGCCAGGTCATGGCTTAGAACCTGCACACAAGGAGCTCTTGGGGACAAAGGACTTCTTGAGCCTGGCAGACGGCTGCCCACCATTGCCCACGTCGTGGTGGTAACGGGACGGGCAAAGCTGGGTCTCTCCCAGGTCAGGCAGCACCCAGAGCCAGAGAGGAAAAACCAAACTAAGACGCGTTAAGTTGCACGAGGAGCAGGACCCTGCCTGAACAAAGGTGCCGAAGGGAAGTGGGATGGCAGAGCAGGAAACGGGCACCCCGAGCACAGAACTAATGAACACTCCCACAAGAGAGAACACAAAAGAAAGTTTCAAAGGCACCATTAAACCAAGAAGATGATGATCCCTCCAGCACAGAAACAGCAGGTGTGAGAAGTCACTTTCTAAAAAGTATTAACAGATTCACTGAGGAGACAGCAGCTATGGGGAACTCAAAACCAGGGGTGCACACCTGCCTTCTGTGTGAAGCTTAAGAAAGTGCATGACAGCATTTCACATGTACTGCCAGAACTAAAATAATCTCCAGACCTACGTGCCAGTGACTCATGTACACCTCATGGACCACCACTTACAGATTTCATAGATTTCTAGATTGGAAAAG